GCTTGGCAGCGGCGCTGGGATCGTTGTGTTCACTCCCAGGGGAACTACTTCGAGGGTGATGGATGAATTTAATACCTGAGATAAGTGTACGGGTTTTTATAGGCGCAGTCTAGAAACTTTCCGATCGCACCTCGTATGGTCCGCATTTTTTCCATTATCTTTCAAATCTGACATTTCTTAATTTGAAAGAAAACGGTGTACAAACGTTGGAACCACATGTGTTCGAGGATTTACATAATTTAAAAATACTGCACCGCAATGGAAATAAAATTTGCACTCTGCATCCAAACACATTCCGAGGAAATTCCAATCTCGCTTTACTGACCTTAAATAGAAAAGAATCTTCCATTATGGACATAGCATCGTTTCTTCCATTAATACATCTGACGGAACTTGAACTTCCTTCCTGCCGCCTTCAAAGTGCCTACATCTGGTGTTTACGCCAAAATGTAACCACGGAAGGGGAGTGCGAAAGTATTCATGGATTTACTCAGCGTTCCTGAGCTTCTCTCGGAGAAATTTCTGTTTTTCCAAACAATGAATATTCCACCATTACAGTTCCCCCTTCGGCAGATCTCCAGGAAGATACACTCTTGTCAGGTCTTTGAACATGTGCATTCTGATTGTGGTTTGCACGCTTGTGTTAATTTTGGTGTGAATGTTCTTTGCGTCCGTCCGTCAAGGTTACAAGGAATTCTCTACTCCTGCGGCATATGACGTGTCAGCTGCTAGGAAAGCCGGAGGTACATAACAATAACTTTCCGAAGGAAGAAGAGACAAATGTCACTATTAACTCAAATACAGCAACAATGACTGATGCTTCCAGTCTGCGCACAATCACCCCACAGTCAAAACACTCTCGCTCATTTACATTCGTTACCGGAGGAAATCCCTGAAAAATAAGCATGTAAAACCCAGCTGGACATTTCGTGCTTTCACGATATTCATTGAAATAAGAGCATGGCTGTTGCAAAAACAAAAGAACTGATGGTTTAAATGTCATCCACGGAAGTACAAAGCCAACTTACAACAAACGAGCTGCCTTCTATGTTTTCAGTAACCTAAGGTATTTACACTAGCAGTGTTCTGTAGAACACGCTACAAAGAAACAGTTCTTATGTAGATCGATTTATAGTGTGTAAGCTCATTTGGACAAACCAGCTGAGCGTATATACAAACATACACGTCTTACAGTACGGCTAATTATTAAATTACATACGTTTTATCGTAGCGATAGCAAAAAGATAAATAAAAGTGGAAAAAGTTATATACTGTATGATGTTAATACAGCTCAAAGTCTGGACTAATTTTTAATTCATAAGACTATGAGACATCACATCCGACTGGACCAAGATTGATATCTTCACTGCCGTCAGAATCTCCTATCTCATAAAAAAGCAAAGCAGTCCCACTATACGCCATGTAGGCGCTTGGGGGGAGTGGAGGTATAGCTCCTACCCATTCTTGACCTCGACACTAGATGGGGGTGAGTGGTTAGCATCCCGCACCGGCCGCGTTTTACCACCGAGAAAGGACCCAGGTACCCATTAGATAGGAAGCTGGGTAGGCCCCAGAACCGGTCTGGACGTAGAGGTTAGAGGAAAAATCCTCTGCCCCGATCGGGGAGCGAACCTATCGTCCGGCCCGTAGCCAGTCACTATACTGACTGAGCTACCTCCTACCTCATACCCCTATAAATGTTCATAGTCCAGGGAACACCTTAAAAATTAGACGTCATTGGCATGAAAAACATACTGGGAATTTATAATTTTAGTGCTTACACAATTCACTCAACTGTCCACAGAGAGGTCAAAATATGATTTAAAAAGATGTATATTTAAACACTTACCTTTATATATACTGCAGCCTTCGGAAGGCCACTTTTCTTCAATGATGATCAGTTTCACTTAACCTTTATCATGAATACATTCATGGTGACCAATGTCAAGTCAATAAAACTGTTTATTCACAACACTTTGGGTCTGAACTTCTGAGATCATTCCACCACTTTTAACACGTTCGAGAAATGCACTGACAAATATATCAAAATACCATAGTGATAAAATTAAAAGCATTTAAAATTGATAAAGGCAAACACCGACACGTCGGATATTTGAAGAAAGGCGCTAAAATAACAAAACACAATGATGGCGTTTGTAACACACGCGTGGATCTGATCTCATCGATTTTCACTAATCACAACACTCCATACTTTTCTGATTGATGACATGGTTCGAAAGGCAAGACTTCCGGTTTCCACCATTAGCTCAAGCTGCGATCTGCATAACGCAGTCGGAACTACAGTTCACTGGCCTTGAAATTTCTCATAATGAAATACCCTATGAATGTAAACGTTCTGTAGAGTCAAATATGAGGGCAAGTTCGTAACACAGACGAATGGGTGGTATCACTGTTCACACACACACACACAACTAGTGAGCGAGAGAGCGCGCACGCACGCACGCACAGATACTAACGCAACTAGCATAAACAAAGTTTATTAAGCATGACAAAATGGTAAAGATAGGAGGCAAAATGTCAATTGTGTCCTATATAAGGTACCATGTGGCATTTTCCCAGTAATGCTGAGCAGACCCATGAAAAGCTGGTTATGTTTGGGAGATTTGAAGTAGGTTCTTCCCAAATAAAGTCAATCAACCTTGAGTAGGTAAGAGCTTGAAAGATTTTGAAATAAATACATAAAAAATTAGGTAACTATAATGTATGAGGGATGTTACTTTAAATTTTCTAAAAGCAATTTCTATGAATTTTGATCAAAGAGAAAATTAAGTAAATTCATAGTTCTTAAGCTTCTGATTAAATTTATTGACGATGTATGTTAACCAGATCAAACCACATCAAATAATGGGTCTTGTTTGCTTTAAATAGTCTCCAACACCAATAAATAGAAATCTGCAAATCGATGTATTACTTTTCACGGATGATCTGGCATTACTGGTGCCATCTGAAGATGACTTACAACGCTCAGTTTATAATCTCCATAAAATTAGTAGACAATATGGAAATTTCATCTGAAAAACAAAAATCATGGCTTTCTGCGGTAAAGAACCCATCCGAAGCAAAATATGAGTCAGTGTGTCTAATTAAAGGGTTTAAAGCTGACTCAACTGCATTGGTTAATCATAACATCAGGGAAACAAGCCAAACTGAACGGGAATTAACTTCACCTAGACATTGAGTCGCATTCCTCCAATGAGTCTGAACCTTTATAGTTCCATAATTTGGTTGAGTGGCAAATGGCCAGGTGGAATCCTTATGCCACTACAATCTGCACCTACAGAACCCACTCGTACAAATGGGGTTTGAATGAGAGCAGCAATCCTATATGTTGTATGAGATGCATATAGTGCAGCAGCAGTAATGAATGATACGCACTAGCGACAAAAACATCCACACAAGTGTTCACCAGCTGAATGTACTCACTGATACTGCCAATACTATGACACACGTGTTTTAGTTTCCTTAATAAAATGCATTATGCTTTACAAATGGTTGGATTCTATGATGAACGAACATACACACATCACCAACCTTTAAACAGTGCAGTCATCTTCAAACTTCATGCAGTGTCTGCATGCCTGGAAACAAAGCTGGAAATCAAAGATGGATGTTTTGTGGTTGTAATACTAAACAGTCTGGTAGATAATGATTAACACTTCTTAAGAAGAGTTTACTGCCTCTATCTTCAGAGTGATGAACTAAGCTCCTCTGAAATGTTGGTCAATATCTACAACACAGAAGACCATCATCTTCATACTTGTCACTGTGAGAACCTCAAATCTCAGCAAGAGTACTGGAAATCATTAAGCAAAACTCCTTCCTTTCAATACTGTCATCATATTTCTATGCATGTCCTCACATCTCACATGAAGTAACCTAAAATGAGACTCTTTCAACAAGTTTTTTAAACCAAAAAAAAAAAGTCACATAGCAAAACTATGAATTTGATGAATGGTCAAACATATGGCATAAGTTGCTTTACAAAAATGCTTTTATGGGAACATAAATTGTCATGCTACAAAATCCACTTCTTCAGCCAAACATTAGGCATTTTTGTCAAATAAGGCATCTTGAACATAACAAAACTTGATAGCAGAATGATTAGCTGACTTTTTCATAAAGAAATGAATGGAATAGTAGTGTTTAGGTGTAAGAACTGCCCCACCTAATATCCTTTGCCACTTTTAAGTTAAAATAAAACTTTAGAGAGTGTGTAACTAAACAGGCAATAATGAGTACACTGCAGGTAAACATTTATGCAAATAAAATTACAGAAGAACTGCCATTTAACTTTTATCAACCATGTGTCACACTAGCACACTACTAAACTATTAGCCTAGGAGATAAAATGTCAGCTGGCAGCTCCACACTACTAATTTAAATCCCTCATTTCCAGGTTAACGATTCTAAATTTAACATTCCCCTCATTCAAGTTAAACTTTTATGGTCTTTGTGTCCCCCTCCCCCATTACCTCAGAGTTTAATTTCATCCATGTAAGATTTTCTTTGGTTTAGATTTCAAATTCAACATGTCAGGAGAGTTCAAGAAATAAGATAGCTGTTCATGACAGGGTGTGATTAAGGTCTGAAAAACATTGGGGATGATTTCTAAAGCTAAATTTCGTAACATAACAAAAGAGAATATGCCTCTCTTGGGCAGCACACACTGTTACTACAAACTGAACGCTGTAACAAAACAGTTGAAA